AGCATTCTTTTATCTGCAAGGGTATATATGATGGACGTTGATGCACTACGAGAAGTACAAACAAGTGGCCCAACGACACCAAGCACGTGCTTGTTACGCGCGGGGCCCTTTTGTAAATTTGGGCAAAAATGCGAGTTCGCGAGGAAGAATACATAAAACCAATAAAGACGGGACAAATAATGAAAAAAACATGCAGTTAGGAGTGAAGCAAATGAGTTAAAATAATAGTTTTTAATACCGGGATAGAAGTTGATGTACAAATTAAATGATAAAGAACGTTATAGTTATTACATAGAACGCGAAAGGGCTCGTGCAGACCAAAATTTGATGTACATCGAGGTAAATTAAGAGGATGATAATTACGTGTCAGTCTAACGGGAACATTAAAAGTTAGGCGGCTAACAAGTTCTACAGAATCAATATCACCTCTTATAAGATTATGCATAAAAATGGTACCAAGCATTTTTCTACGATTTGAAAGTGTCGGTAAATTAAGCAATAATAATCTACTTTGGTAGGAAGGTAGCCTTACGTTTTGATCCCAGTTCAAACTACGAAGGGCAAAAAGGAGAAATTTTTTTTGTATCGACTTTATACGGTCAATGTGGACTTGGTATTGTGGGGTCCAAACCGAAGAACAATATTCCAATATAGGACGGACAAGAAGGGTAAATAATAATTTGGTTATATAAGGGTCATCAAATTCTTTTGACCAACGCTTTATAAACCCAAGAACACTCATAGCTTTATTGACTGTCGACATTATGTGGCAGTCAAATTTAAGCTTCGGGTCCAGAAGAACGCCTAAATCATTTACTGAATATATACGGTCAAGTTGCATTTAGGCAGTTCAAATTTAAGAGGTTATACTCACACCATACTTGAAAATTATCAATGTCTGATTGTAAGCCAAAACCAGACTCTATATTATTAAATGTCAAACAAAGCCTAACATCATCAGCATACATTAGTACACGAGAATGTGCTACGATAGAGGGAAGATCGTTAATAAACAAAGTAAACAGCAAAGGGCCCAAATGACTACCCTGAGGTATATAAGGGATAAACTTCCGTTTAGCTCCTACCCCCAATTTTTTTCAACCTTTCCATATTGACGTGTTTTGGGGTCCTGATTACGGGAAAAATAGCCAAAGTTGGCGCAAGTAACGGGATCTTAAAAAACAACGGTAAAAATCGTAAAATCTTCGGTTTTTTGCAGTTTTTTCGGAAAATATAAGGAAAAAAATGTTTTAGAGAAAAACAGAAGATATTTATAAAACTGATCTTTAATTGATTAAGTTATTATATTCGAAAATATTTACGAAAAACAGTTTTTACCGTTATTTTCCATGATCCCGATATTTGCGCCAACTTTGACTATTTTTCCAATAATCTGGACGAAATCGGGGGTTGGAGCTAAACGGAAGTTCACCCAAATTTATTTAAAAATGATAATGACCCAATTTTTTTCGTGAAAAAATTTTAGATAATTTTTTCCTACCAAGCTTGCTTTAGGCATAAAAGAAGGATTATATGTTACGCGAATTGCACGAGTGAAAGGAAAAATAGATTTTTGGGATTACCGACGCGACATTAAAAATTTGTAAAAACGAGGACGGAAGTTAACTTCGGCAAGCCGAAGTTTTAATACCCTTGCAGATTTTACGAATTAAAACTTGACTAGACTAGCAACATGAATTAATAAACAACAAAATATTTTATAATTGAAAAAATAAAATTTTAAAATTTTTCAACCTATTGTTCCTATGGGAGCTATAGGATATAGACGTCCGATCGGGTCGGCTTTCAATAGAGTCCTGCATGAGTGTACTTGGAAGTCAATTTTTAAAATCAGTTAACTTGGATCACTTTTTTCATTTTATTTTTTCATAAGGAAAAACAAGTGATTTAATATAAAATAAATAGATATAAAATAATTTTGAATCACCTAAATAATTGGCTTAGTAATTTTATCACTCCCACTCACTTTTATTTTGTGCTTGTATCACATGTTTTTTTTTACGAGTGATCAAGTGAAACAAGTGATCCAAGTTAACTCACTTGAACTCACTCACTCTATTTTCAAAAAATTGACTTGTTTGTCAATTCAAGTGTACTCATGCAGGACTCTAGCTTTCAAATTTGATCTGCGTACACATGTTTTAGGACGACTGTGAAAGTTTCAAGGCGCTAGCTTTTAAACTGAGCTCGCGAACGGTATTGAAACAGACATACAGACGGACATGGCTATATCGACTGCCCTATTGATCCTGATCAAGAATATATATACTTTATCAAATAAAAACACCTCTAAACGAGGTAAAAAACTAGTGACGATCGCACCTTCAACGTACAAAAGTTCTGATATCAACTTTTGTGACGAAAAATGATTTTAGATGCGACTAAATAAGTACGTGACCTAAAATGTATTCATTCGGCCCGCTTTAGCAAATATTTAATATCTACACGAAAGTTTTTTGTTGTAGCGTGCCGAATGAATAAATTTTAGGTAACGTACTTATTTAGTCGCATCTAAAATCATTTTTCGTCACAAAAGTTGATATCAGAACTTTTGTACGTTGAAGGTGCGATCGTCACTAGTTTTTTACCTCGTTTAGAGGTGTTTTTATTTGATATCAGAAGTTTTTGTTTGTTTACTTTTGCTCTCATAGGTGCTAATGTAAACATTTAAATTTAAATTGGTCAATCATAATTTTTAAACAATTGTATTTTAACGAATTAAGTTAAAAAGGCGTTGAAGTATTTTAAAATACCTTTTAAACGAGGTATAGCACATGTCTGTACCTTTAATAGTGTAGAACTTAAAAACTAACGAAATTTAGCCATTTTTAGCTTTTTTCCCGCTAAAGTAGCGGCTTTTTCCAAAAGTCGTAGAACAAAAGATTCCTATATGGAACTCTTAAGTGCAAATTTACTGATTCCATGACCCTAAAATACAGTTCGGATACCCTCCCACAAAATTCAATACTCAGGGAGCGTTAATTGTTCGAGCTGGCAAAAGTGTCTATTTTCGTATAAAAATAACTTTTAAACGTGACTTTTTACAGTAATGTGTTATATACCAAAATTTAAGGAATCTCAAGGGCTATACAGTTTAAAGTTGTAAGAAAAATCGTTAGAGCCGTTTTTGAGAAAATTAAAAAAAAGCTAAAAAAAAAGTTTAAACAAATTTTCTTTTGTTCATATCTTTTTAACTAATTCATTTACACAAATTGCATTTACAAGGCGTTTATAGCATTTAAAAATACCTTTCAAACGAGATGCAGCACAAGCCTGTAGCTTTAGTAGTATAGAAGTTACGGCTTTCCGAATTTTAGCTACTTTTAGCTGTTTTCCCGCTAAACTAGCGGGTTTTTCCAAAAGTGGTAGAACAAAAGTTTTTTATATCGATGTGATGAACGTCATATCAAATTTTCAGAACTTAAAAAACATATTTTGGACAAGTGGACAAACAGAATTAAATTTTCATTTTGGGAAGAAGAAGAAAATCTTATTTTGGCTATAACTTTTGAACGGAGCGTCGGATTTCGAAAAATGACCCCTCATTCGACGGGTATTTTCAAAAGGAATACAACTAAAACATTGCGAGGGGGCATTTATCCCCACCGGCCCCAACAGCTCCAAATTTCGAAATTTTCACTTTTTCACTTTCACCGCTCTCTCCCCCAAGCCAATTGATTTTCTTAAAGTCTTGGTATGCAATCCTTTAAGTTTTTGCAATACCTTTCGATTGGTGTATTACTCATTACGATCGGACTATCACAGCAGATTTTCAATTTTGCGGCTATATAATAGTAGTCGCCTTCGCACACTCTCCTGGTGCGCTTCGTCACTACATGGACTGCCGTCCATAGTGATGTGGTCGGAAACGTCTCCTTCACTGCGTTACAAACTTCTGACCAAAACAAGAGAGAACGCTATAGTCGGGTTGTTGTCCCGACTATCTAATACCCGTCACTCAGCTAAAGGGAGTGCGAACGCTGTGTCGGGTTGGTGTCCCGACTAATAATCGTAACTCAGCTAAAGGGAGTGCGAGGGAGATAGATATATAATTTTTGATTGCGTATAACTTTTTAATGAATGGTCCGATTTGAAAAATGTCTTCTACATTTCGATAGGTATAAATATACACAACAAAATTGCATTTATACTTCTCGGAAATCGTTAAAGATGTGGGCGCAGGACCCATTTTAAAATCGTTAGTGGGCGATTGTGGGCGTTAGAGGGGGCGTGGCGCTCGGCTAAAATAAACTTGCGCTGCGTAGGAAGCCAAAGAATATGTGTGGGAAATCTCAACCTTCTAGCTTTTGTAGTTTCTGAGATCTCAGCGTTCATACAGACGGACAGACGGACAGACAGACAGACGGACAGACGGACAGACGGACAGACGGACAGACGGACATGGCTAGATCGACTCGGCTAGTGACCCTGATCAAGAATATATATACTTTATGGGGTCGGAAACGCTTCCTTCTGGCTGTTACATACTTTTGCACGAATCTAGTATACCCTTTTACTCTACGAGTAACGGGTATAATTATAATACCCTCTGCAAGCGTATAAAAAAATTTTTAGTGGAAAAGTTTTGAGAAAATTGAGTGTCCCAACTTACAGACCGTCCCAACCTACAGACCTCTCCCCTATGTGTTGCTCGTGTTTCAAAGATGCATATTTTCGTGTAAAAAATTAATTTGGAAGAATATGTAATTGATTTACAAAATATAGATACCAATGCTATTTTTAAACCAAAAAAGAAAATTTTCCGTCAACTTTTAATTTATGGGGTTTGATTGATTTTAATGGAAATGCCCATATGCATCATATGGTTTTGGCTGCAAGGGTATAAAAGCATCGGCTTGCTTAGGTTAGGTTAGGTTAGGTTAGAAACGTCCCTATTATTTTTCACATGACTGTATGTACATTGTACAATGTAAATATATAATGGCATTCGCTTGAGCATTAATTATTAAATCATTCACCTTTTTGGTCGACGCTCATAATGTTAACGCACAGATTCTCTTAGCGCATATATAAATAATATATTGAATATTTTCGTTTTAGCTTAAGCACAAATCACGTCTCGTCAAGTTACGAAAATCAGTTAGGCCAGACAGCAAACACACACTTCCAGCCGTGTCGATGGCTAAAATACTTCTGAGCGTGACATTTAAAGCTCTGCCCACCATATACCGTATATAACTGCAATTAGACATCAAGATTGGGGCTCTGCTTAATAAGTTTTATCAAAGTACCGATTACCCAAAGCGATAGCTGGATGCTACCTGCCGCATTCCAAACTTTATATTGCCGCCTAGCTGCCACTATAAGCAAACATGGGTTAGATTACCCACACTAGCGCTGCCACCATTAGTGCCAGTCATTTAAGCATTTTAATTTCCTTTGTGAGAAAGTCTTTACAAAGAACAAAAAACGACCCGTCTAACGTAAAATCTGGCAGTTCCATTAGAAAATTAATATTGTATCGTCTTAATAAGGTATGACTAGATTTGCAGAATAAAAATTATAAATTGGGAGTCATGAACGGAAAGGAAAACATAATCATTACAGTTGAACTTCAATAAAATAAACCTACCTCGATCAGCCATAAAAAAATCTACATAGTTACATGTAACTTTGTAAAGACGTCCACGGATGGTTAATACCCTTATCAATACGTGTTTTACTTAGCACCACTAATACTCCGATTGTAAAGAACTCGAAACAATTATGACTGTTGAATCATTAGCTAAACAAGAAAGAAAGATAACTTCGGCAGGGCGAAGCTGATATACCCTTGCAGGGCGTTCTATAGCAGCTATATGATTTTGACTAGGAAACACAATTTAGCCGGGACGGAAAATAATCATTATTTTTGATTTTTTAAACCTAAAAATCAGTCACTTATAATAGTCGGAAAACCAAATGAAATACACCAACTGGTTACTATTTATATAACCTTTTCAAATCCGCAATCATCATGATTTTTTGATTTTTAATTGATATTGCTCAGAATTAATCATTATTTTGGAGTTGTATAAATATGTATCAAGAATAACACAGGCCGACAGTGTTTTTGGTGCAGCTCTTGGGCTTTAAAATGTGTTAATATAGACGGATATAAGCATATCTGCATACTTAGTTTTCGAGTTTAATGGGTGGTATTTGTGCAATCGCGGTTTAAAAAAAAAAAACAACATTTAATTTTTTTATTTAAGATATCTTCGAGGGTCTGTGCTCAGTTGTAATAAAACCTATGCCAAACAATTGCATTTAAGGTTCCATCGTAATTTGATTTAATCAAAGCCTATGAGCCATTGAAGTAATTTGTTCACCTCTATTCCCAACCAACTTGATGCGGTGAACAGACTTAAAACAAGAGAGAACGCTATAGTCGGGTTGGTGTCCCGACTATCTAATACCCGTCACTCCGCTAAAGGGAGTGCGAACGCTGTGTCGGGTTGGTGTCCCGACTAATAATCGTAACTCAGCTAAAGGGAGTGCGAGGGAGATAGATATATGTTGACAATTTATAAATCGTATAACTTTTTAATGAATTGTCCGATTTGAAAAATGTCTTCTACATTTCGATAGGTATAAATATACACAACAAAATTGCATTTATATTTCTCGAAAATCTTTAAAGATGTGGGCGCAGGACCCATTTTAAAATCGTTAGTGGGCGATTGTGGGCGTTAGAGGGGGCGTGGCGCTCGGCTAAAATAAACTTGCGCTGCGTAGGAAGCCAAAGAATATGTGTGGGAAATCTCAACCTTCTAGCTTTTGTAGTTTCTGAGATCTCAGCGTTCATACAGACGGACAGACGGACAGATGGACATGGCTAGATCGACTCGGCTAGTGACGCTGATCAAGAATATATATACTTTATGGGGTCGGAAACGCTTCCTTCTAGCTGTTACATACTTTTGCACGAATCTAGTATACCCTTTTACTCTACGAGTAACGGGTATAACAAGAAAGGAAGCTAGCTTCGGCCAGCCGAAGCTTATATACCCTTGCAGATCATTCCTATTAATAAACAAATCGCAAAAATGTTCAATTTTCTAATATTTCTCATTAATATTCCGATCGTTCCTATGGCAGCTATATATAGTCGTCCGATTTTGATCAAATTAAAATTGAAATTCGAAAATATTTAAAAAGAGTCATATCCTAGAGTAGAAGATAATACAATAAAAACCAAAGAAGCTAGAATTTATTTCCTATTACTTTTCCATTAATTTTCCGATCGTTCCTATGGCAGCTATATGATATCGTAGTCCGATTTTTAAAATAATTAATTCGAAATTCAGATATATTTAAAAAATAACATCCCCAAAAGTAGAAGGTAATATTTCAAAAAACACCGAAGCTAGAATTTTTAAAAAAAAAATTTTTCCGATTGTTTCCATGGGAGCTATAAGATATAGTTGTCCGATCCGGTCGGCTCCGACATATATACTACCTGCAATAGAAAGAAGACTTTTGGGAAAGTTTCATCCCGATAGCTCAAAAACTGAGAGACTAGTTTGCGTAGAAACAGACAGACGGACAGACGGACGGACAGACGGACAGACGGACATGGCTAGATCGACTCGTCTTGTGATGCTGATCAAGAACATAGATACTTTATGGGGTCGGAAACGTCTCCTTCACTGCGTTGCAAACTTCTGACTGAAATCATAATACCCTCTGCAAGGGTATAAAAATAAAAGGAAAATATGTGCCCTAAAATATTTGACAGGCATCTAGAGGCGTCTTTTTCCGTTAAACGCTTGTATACTTCTATATCAGCGGTCGGCAGCTTCCTATTAAGTGAGCATAGGGAATTGCTCTGCTCATCCGCTGCCTCTCACGGACTCTGTAGAACAGCAAACTAGTCTCTCAGTTTTTAATCAGTGGGGCGAAAAAGCCAAAAGTCTGCCTTAAATCAGCGGAGCCCTATAGCGGTTATCTTTTGATGAGGTATTGTTAAAGGCAATTAGTATATAAAAAACATCATAAGGTGCATTTTTTTAGTAAAATTTCTTTGTTGTAGGAAATTTTTAAGAAAAAAAAAATCTTTTTTTTAAGAAAAGAAATACAAAAAAATTACCTATAGGGTTCTAAGTTTCCCAAATTTTCTTTTAATTTAACTTGATTTTTGAAAAAAAAAATTATTTAAATCGGTCAACTATATCTTATTGCTGCCATATAAACGCTAATTACAAAGGGGAATATCTCGGTTCTATTCCAATATTGGTTCATATAAATCGAGATTAAGTCATTATTTATCATTTTAACTCTATACTTACCTTTGGTCAAAATTAAAATTTAAAAAAACACCGAAGCTAGAATTTTTTTTTACGTTTTTTATACCCTTGCAGAGGGTATTAAGATTTCAGTCAGAAGTTTGGAACGCAGTGAAGGAGACGTTTCCGACCCCATAAAGTATATTCTTGATCAGCATCACAAGACGAGTCGATCTAGCCATGTCCGTCTGTCTGTTTTTACGCAAACTAGTCTCTCAGTTTTTGAGCTATCGGGATACTTTTTTGATACTTTTGGGAATGTCTTTTTTCTATAGTAGTATATAAGTCAAAACCAAGCGGATCGGACAACTATATCTTATAGCTCCCATAGGAAGGATCAAAAAAAAAAAATGTATTCTAGCTCCGGTGTTTTTTGAAATTTTACCTTCTACTCTTGGGAATATTTTTATACCCTTGTAGAGGGTATTATAATTTCACTCAGATGTTTGCAACGCAGTGAAGGCGACGTTTCCGACCACATAAAGTATATATATTCTTGATCAGCACCAATAGCCGAGTCTATCTAGCCATGTCCGTCTGTCCGTCTGTCCGTCTGTCTGTCTGTCCGTCTGTCCGTCTGTCCGTTTCTATGCGAACTAGTCTCTCAGTTTTAAAGCTATCGCGATGAAACTTTCCCGAAAGTCTTCTTTCTATTGCAGGTAGTACATTTGTCGGAGAGAGCCGGATCGGACCACTATATCTTAAGGCTCCCATAGGAATATTCAAACAAATATAAGAAAATTCATTGTAACTTTGTAGGAAGTAGGCGTTTTGATTCTTGACTACTTAAAAACAAAATTTAAATAAACAGAAACGCTGAATCTGGAATCCCTGGAACTGAACCGAGTGAGCATTCTTTTATCTACAAGGGTATATAAGCTTCGGCTGGCCGAAGGTAGCTTCCTTTCTTGTTTTTTATATATTTCTGAATTTCGGTTTTTTTGTTTTTTAAATCGCATCAGTATATCATATAGCTGCCATAGGAACGGTCGAAAAATTAAATGGAAATTAATGGGAAAAAAATTATATCTTTGTTGGTTTTTTAATACATTTCCTTCTACTCTGGGATATGACTATTTTGAAATATTTCCGAATTTCGATTTTAATTTTTGAAAGATCGAACTACTATATCATATAGCTGTGATAGAAACGATCGAAAAATTATTGTTAAATAATAAGAAATTTAACATTTTTGCGATTTGTAAATTAATAGAATGATCTGCAAGGGTATATAAGCTTCGGCTTGCCGAAGCTAGCTTCCTTTCTTGTTTTTTTTTGATTTTTCCTATGGGAGTTATAAGATATAGTTGTCCGATCCGGCCGGTTCCGACTTATATATTACCTGCAATAGAAAGAAGACTTTTGGGAAAGTTTCATCCCGATAGCTTAAAAACTGAGAGACTAGTTTGGGTAGAAACGGACAGACGGACAGACGGACGGACAAACGATGGCTAGATCGACTCGTCTAGTGGTGCTGATAAAGAATATATATACTTTATGTGGTCGGAAACATCTCCTTCACTGCGTTGCAAACTTCTGACTGAAATCATAATACCCTCTGCAAGGGTATAAAAACATGGTGGGACGGGGAGCGAACTCAGTCCTTTTTGTTTGGAGACAGAAGCTCCACAGGCTAGGCTACGTCCATCTGTTAATGGGCATGAAATATTTTTGCAAAAGGGAAAATGGCATAGAAATTCGATTTTAGATGGGAAATGTAGAAGCAAACAACTGATTGTTTTATTTTTTTTCTTTTGGAATGTTGTTTATTGCACTATTATCTTTCGGATTGCATTAAAACATTTTCATTTTTCATCCTAAAACACTTTTAACAAATAAGAAAAACTAAAAA